TTTTTTTTTTACATTTACATCAACAAACTCTAATTTGCTTCCTTTGCTTTGATTGCTTTTCCTCCCCTCTCAGAATCTTCATAATTTGGGCAATCAGTAGTTGGTTTCGCAGAGGGCCGTCCACTCCTGACCCCAGCACACCAACAGGTGCCCCCAGAGTTCCCAGCAGGAACCTCTTTCCCAAAGACACCCTCATGGTACAACACTAATTCTCTCTATGCATCTGGTTTGGTTGAAGAGCTCTTTAAAAGGAATAAACATGTTTAAAAAAACATTAAAATAATGAATACTAAGGATTTTTTATTTTAGTTTTACATTTACCTGTTTCTATAGATGTTTGTGTGTTTTTTGTTTTGTATAAGTGTTTTTTTGTTCCACATTGCTCTCAGTATAGAAAACCTGTTATCAAGTGTTAAATATGACCAGCTGAATTAAAAGCCTTCATTCCTAAACATCTGTCATATTTTGATCCCCTAAAGTAATGGAGATGTACCCGAGAGTTACCTTGAYTCAATTTCTCTCCTGACACGGTAATATGATAAACACCTTTATTTTCTCACCATTCCTGCAGGACTTGTACGTGTATGTGTCCCAGGAGGAGGTGTTCTCTGACTTCAACAACACAGATGCACTGTTCTGGTTCCACAGAGACCTGGTCTATGGAGACTGGGCCACAGGAGAGAATGGAGATGGCTGCTACCAGAACTATAAGGAGTTGGACATCCCAGAGGTATGGGATTACTGAAGATCATGAAGATTCTGTGACAGACAGACAAAAGCCCTTTTTTAGATACTATAATAGATTAAGAAGGATATGGATACTGTCTACTGGAAAAAAGAATGTGTAACTAGAGGTAGAAGATGTGAATGTGTCTCCTCCTGGTTGGTGTTTTTGTTGCAGAAGGTCCAGCAGAATGGCTCCCTTTACATTCATATCTACTTCACAAAAAGTGGATTCCACCCAGACCCCAAACGCAAGGGACAGTATCGYAGACTGGCAACAGTTCATTCAACACGAAGTATGTGCATCAACAATACAAATACACACATTACTATATTTAAACAACACCTGATCATTTCAGACTGTTAATCTTTGCTTTTTTATTCCATCAGTGTTGAATAAATTCAAGAGAAGAAAGTTTCTGAAAACCAAGAATCTGCTGACAGGAGAGACAGAAGCAGATCCAGAGATGATTAAGGTCAAAATAATTTTATGTTTATATATATATATATA